CTTTATTTTCATTTGATAGTGGCTTTTAAGATTAATTTTGGTTGATAGTAACTTTTACATATTTAAAGTCAACTTTGTTAGACATTGGTGATCCTTGAAGTCTTATTTTGTTTCTTTTATTTGATTTTTAGGACATATATTATGTAAATCTTATTAGAAAAAAGATTGAAGAAGGGTCTTGGTAGCAAAAAGAGAAGTTATGGCATCCATATGGATGAATGGAGATGGATGATAAAAATCTCCATTCCTATTGGCCAAAAATCATGCCTAACGGGCTTCAAGGAAGCTATTTAAGGCCTTATTAGGAATTAGGATTATTCTTACGAGGCCATTCAAACTTTAGAGGCAAAGGTTAGAAATTTTAGGTTTTTGTCTATGGTTTTGATACAAATTTTGTGTGATTTGGAGTTTAGATAAAAGAGATATGGGCACTCAAAGTTAAGGTGATGATTTGGTACCTACTATCACTCTTTTGAATATAATGTGCGCATTTAGAAAGAAATAAAGGATCAGAAACTAGAATTGAAGAGAGCACTTTCTTGGCTATACTTTTTGTAATGTGCTTGATGAATTTTAAGTTGAGATAAAAGAAATATTGGAAATTAAAATCAGCACTTCAAATCTAAGGGTAGTAAATAACCTGATTCACTAGTAGTTGTGTTTTGAGCTACATCTTAAGCAGTTTGATAAGATTTTGGCTCAAATTTTCTAAAAATGTTTATAATCATGTTATTGAACTTTATGAATAAATTTTGTGATATTTGAATTTTGTATTTTCAAGAAAATAGTACTTAGGTGCTTACAGATTAGGGTTTAGAGCACCTGCTAGGATTTCTAAGATGCCAAAAGATTGGTAGTGAATTTATGGTTTATTTTTTTAATAAAACTTAAGAATAAGTGTTACATTATTTAGTAATTTGAAAAAAATTAAATTGTTGGATTAAGAGATATGAATTTTTAAAGTTTGAAAAGCATAAATCTTTTGTAGAAAAAATAAGTTTTGAGAGATTTTGCTACAATTTGGATATTTTATATAAAGTGAAGAGGTTTTGGAAGCCGAGACTTTGTATATAAGTTAAAGGTGGAATAAATTATTTATTGGAGCTTAGCCAATATATTTAAATTAAACTCTCTATAGCTAAATATCTAGTGTATTTTCAGATTACAAATCACACTATATTACACCATTAAGTCTAAAGATTTTGATATCTTCTTACAACAAAAAAAACCAAAAAATTAAACCACTAGAGTACAATGATGGTTAATATCATGGATAGAAGAATAATTATCAACAATAGCATTTTTCTTTATATTCTTATGTAATGGAACAAAACAAGAATTATCCAAGAAAAAAACATCTTTGAACAATTATCTAGCAAAAGAAACAATATAATAGATCCATACAAAGATCTTTTGGTTACAATATTGCCAACCTATGCAAAAAAGATGAATTAATCTTATTAACCTAACAAATACAACAATAGCTTTAATAGTTAAATGGATCATTAAGGCCTTGGAACCTAATGAATCTAATTTACACTTAATTTTGAGGCATTATCTTAGCCAATTCCAACCATATGTGAAAAGGAGGTGGAAACTAAGTCTAGAATTTTTTACTTTAAAAAAACAAAGTAGAAAAGATTCTATGGTGTGGAATAGAATTGCAACAACATAGAAAACTCTCCTCCCTTTTATCACCTGTATTCTACCAAGAAGTCATAAAAAGCGACTTGTATACAATATGTGGTGCAAATGCAAGATATGGGAATAGGTGCTAGATTCTCTAAAAGTCAAGCATCACAGTGTTGCCATCAAATTCTAAACTTAAAGGGGTCAATACATGAAATAAAGAAAGAATGCAAAAAGAGGTAGGATTACTTTGGTTCACTTGGCATTGGATACTAGTTGTAAACTCATGGAGAGGCAGATTTAATGGAAACATAGATCAATGCTGCCCAGTGTGTTTAATTGTGGTGAGGGAATTAGTACTCCATAAATTTTAGGAGTGTACCTTCACAGAAAAAGCATAGAAATGGAAAATTAATGTTATACAGCTATTGGCTCATATAGACCAAATAATATAGCTGAAGAGACTTGCAACAGATGACCCTCTCAATGGAGTGTGTAATAGAGAGTCCATATGATCATAAATAGTGATATAAAAGTGGTTTTGAACGTCTAACAAATTCTACGCAGTTCTCCCCCTCTTGGAAGCATTGCATTTTTGGATATAATAGTAGTTTTGTACATAATAGTAGGCAGTAATCTAACCTGGCTAGACTTGGCTGGGGTAGTGTACTCTAACACTGTAATAAAGAAATCTTTATTTGTGTCAAAAATAAATAAATAAATAAATAAACGCCGCAGAAGAGAAAAAAATAAAAAAAATAAAAAAAAAATCATAGTTTACTCATCTATCTCAACTTTGGGTCAGATATCAACTCAGATGGTTTTTGAGCAACAGGACTGTCGTCGGAAAACGGCAAATTGTGAAGGGATGGCTTCGGTATGAGGCATCAGCAACTGCTGACACCACCGCCAAGGGGGATTTCGAGACCAAGCAGGTTGTGGACCGTGCCTTACAATTAGCCGGTGCCCTCTGATCATGCGGGGTGACCCCATAATTCCACTCACAGTCAAAGTGACTGGCGGTGTCGATAGGCCTGAAACGCGAAGCCTGTTGCAGCAGCAGTCGTAGGCGCCTTTAAAGCTGAGAAGAGGGAGGCTGAGCTGAAGATATCCCATGTCTTAGAACTTCACGTCTGTGTCCGATTCTGTGTCTGTATTCCCCCTATCAGTGCTGGTTGCAGTGCTGGTTTGTTTAGAGTGTTGCAGGCTTCAGCTGTGGATGTGTCGGCTGGCGTGATTCATCAGACCTCTAAGCCTAGAAGAGCATTCTAGCGACCAAGGATGTTCTGGTAGCCTGCGGTGCCACCGCTGTCTCTCAAAACCTTAGCTGTGGCTACTATACATGGAGGTGGATATGGTGATGTGCGGCATTTCCACCTCTTGTTATGAACAAAGACTTCAAGTCTCATGAGTGAAAAATATTGCATGGACGTTGAAATGGATGAAGAAACAGGCAATTCTACACCCCATGTGCCCATGTTATGATAAGTCTCACAATAAATACAGGAATAAATAAATAAATAAATAAATAAAAACGCAGTTTTGTAGGTTGGTGTTTCTAGGTTTATTATGTGAATGGTTCCATTTTATTTATTTATTTATTTATTTTTCCTTTTTGATGATTTGTGGTTAAACTATGCAGATAGAAGTAATTCTGTAACTGTAATAGATTCAATTAAGTAATTATTTTGGTTTAGTTAAAAGCATGGATCATATAAATCATGAAGAGTATGTACAAAGGCTGTGCATCCAACTGAAGGATGACACCAAACTTTTGATTTTGGTCATGTTGAGCATTTGGTACGAATCAAATGCACAATCAGTTTCAATACATTGACTCTGCCAAATACTTATAAGAACATGCATCTAATAATTATTATTATAATAAATATTAAGTAATTATCTATATGTTTCTTGGTAGCAGATAATTAATGGAAGGATAATTATTATTTGAATTAGATATTGTGAATTCTGTAATCAATATAATCTAGTTCTCCAGTCTTAATTGTGATTTAGATTATAACCTATTAACTTCGCTGCAATAGACTTCATTTGTAAAAAAAAATGTAACAATTTATTTATTAAAAAGTTAACTATCTGGTGTTTTTTTAAACAGTATACATTGAATAAAATAAAATAAAGTTGTGTATGTGTGTAGTGATGCTACATCATATTCAAATTAGTAGAAGCAAGAATAATTGATGAGCTATATAATTGATAAATCAAAGAGTGTGTATAATTTTACAAAAAGAGTTTTTAGAATTAAAAAAGTAGAATCAAATCATATCAATTTGTTACATTTTCTTATTCATATCAATGTTTAGTTAATAATTTTTTTTTTTAAAGATTCAGTATATATATATAATTTTTTTTTGAAAGATTATGAAACCTATAACTATGCTTATTTAATTTACAATTTATAAAATTTCAAAGAAACTAATCAACTTTTAATTACAAAAAATTAAAAAATAGAAATGTATTTTACTTTTATTTTTTAAAATTCAATAATGCTATTAAGTGTTAGTATGCAATCAATATATTTGCCTGTATGTATATTAAAAAACTATAAACTAAAAACTAAAAATAAAATGATGATGTACCTTTAAATTGAATGCAATGCACAAAATGATGGTTGTGTGGTTTTCATTATGGGTTATGAATGGAAGAAAGTACCAAAAACAGTTCACATTGATGCACAAGAGTTGTTATTACAGTGTAATTACCACAAAACATTTGATAAAATGACATAGATTTTTTTCTAAATATATATCAGTAATTCCGATAAATAATTAAGAACTTAAATGTTAGGAAAAGAGAGCCGAATAATTTTAATGATAAAAAAATAAGGTATTATAAATTGGATGATCAAAATTCATCACAAGATTATTAAGTAAATTAAATTAAGAAAATTGACAGCAGAAATAAGAATAAAGTTATACAACCTAATAATTGGAATTTTTGACATATTTCACAGGTACATAGATAAATAAGTTCAAAGATTATTCGTGGCCATGCAATTTTTCACAAATACACAAGAGTCAGAGTTGAAAAGAAAAATTGTAAATTGGATAAATACCTGGGTGAAATAGAAATGGATGAACAAATATGATTGAAAGAATTATGCCGAAATTTTGGATAAAACCTGTACTAAAAACATGATTACACAAATGAAAGGTATTTATGTGTATGTATGTAGGTATGTATGTATGTATATAAAGAGATGTCATTACCATATAAGTCACATTTTTCTTTCATGAAAGTGACTTGCAGTATTGCTTCTTTACTTTGAATGCAAGCCAAAAATGTGACTCAATGAACTTTGTGGGTTGAATGAGACAAGTGGACGTTCAAAAACCAAGAATGAACCAACATTAAACCCGAACAGAAGCTGTAATAAACATTCATAAAGTATACTAAGATATCATGAGAGAGCTTACTCACAACATCTAAAATATTCAAACCCACAGTAGAGTGGGTTTAGAATTAAAAAATCTGCATAAGTCGTGCAACGAAATGGCAATGGAAATCAACTTTCACGAAGTGGTGGGGGAGAAACAGTTCTCCAACCAAAATCATGATCCTCTTGTACATCTAGATATCGCCACGTCATGAACAAAACTAGTGAAGAAGACAAAGAAAATCTTCATTTTGTGTCAAACGTGAAACAAAAATTAGAAGGACCTGCAAGAATACTTGAATGCTACAAGCAAGAAGATGCTCTTGTGCACGACTCACTTCCATAATTTGCGAAAGTTGAACTGAGAAAGTGCGGGTGGCCAATCTGTGAAGTACAGTGTATGTAGCTGAACCACCTCGGCAGGTCTCAAATATAATCCTGGCTCGTAGGGGAAAACTCTCTTTAACCTCCTCCATCGAAGAAGCATGAGGTCCATGGGAGAAAACTGTGGGGAGCTCATGCCGATCGATGACATCGTGTTTGTAAATAATACAGCTGCAAGGAGCGGGTGGTGTAGTAAACAAAATGAATGAACATCTGGCACACACACCTCGGCATCCCTTATAATCCTCTCTTCATCTTCGACTTGGGGCTTATCGGTGAGGAGTGCAAGAATAGAAGTTTGCTTGCAGTCACTCGCTCCGAACACTGTGAGGTCACTCAACGACGAAAATGAAGAGTACGTGTATGTATATATATATATATATATAGTATGCAGAAGCGGGCGGTCACTTTTGTCGAACGCCTCAGCTATGCTGAACCCCAGAAAAGCTTAGGCCAGCACGACCAGCGGGCCGATGATCAGTTGCTTCAAAAGTTGGAGCCTTCGAAGGTCTGGCCAAAGCCCCAGTTGGGTGGGGCTACGTTGTTGGATACCGCGACAGACCCGTCGCTTGTGACAGCCTTGAAGGAGATGGCTTGGCCGTGCATTCTGCTGTTGCCGGTGAACTGCCACATCTGGCCCCAGTTGCGCTTTAAGGGTTGCCAGTTGGTGCTCGATCCCTTCATGTACAGTTGTTGGACATCACCGGCTCCTCCGACATTGGTGACAAGTACCAGCAAGAAGTAAGGGTTGCCGTTGACGGTGAATCTCATGCCTCCATCTTTCAAGCAAGACACTCTGCCAAATAATTCCAACTTCGAGCCGCATCAGAGGTGGTGTTTAAGAAACTACGGCGAATGACAGGGCAATGCGTGACGATTAACAGGCACTGCTCTGGTTGGACATATCGCAGGCAGTGCTTCTAGACTAGGAAGATAGTTCCGACCACAGTTTATGGAACGTGATGTACCTCCTGTAGTTGATTGGGACGACGCCACCAACTGTTCGAGCGATCTTCCTGAATACGGGCTGGGCCAAGTCAAAGTGCTGCTTCGGAGGATTGCACCAGCCTCCATTGGAACCGGTGGGGCAGAAGTTGGTCACGGTGATGATTGCTGATCCTCCAGGGATACAGAACTTGGAACCACTGGGGTCACAAGTAAGCTCGTAGCATGCTCCACAGCTGAGTCCGCTGTTGAATAAAGCGGAACTCAGCGCCGCAGTGTCAGTGCCATAGCCGGAGCTGTAGAGGTTTCCGAATCCACACGCGCCCCCTGCAGACTTAAACGTACACGCAAAAATTACAAATGCTGAACTCAACGGGGAAAGAATGAACGTATACAGATCAAAGGAACCACACTCCAAAATGTGGAGCAACTGTAATGCCACACAACTGACGATGACGAGCCAACATACCCTGAGAAAAAAAAAAAACAAAAAACCGACAACCTGAGCTTCGAAAACTTCCAAGACCCCCATTAATCACAGGAGACATGGAACTTTCATAGTGGTGGCAAAGAAAGCTAAAAAGCACAACAAAGCTTGAAAACAACTCGCAAACAACGAACGCTAAAGACCATGAAGTGACTAATAACTACAGCTACACTGCCAAACTCCTAACGACTCCAGCCCGCTTGTGCTCCTCATCTTAAACTTCGAGAAGCATTCATGTTCGACACGTCCGTCTTTACAACTCCAACAAAGGGGTAATCCCATACAAGCAGCCAAGACACAACAGATCTGGTTTTTATTTGTTGTTCGAAAACTGTATAGCAATCTGATGAGACCCACTCACTACAATACTGGAACCACAACCAAGAAACGGAGCCTGGAGGAGCGGTGTGGGATGGATACCCACCTTGGGTGCCGGAAGCATCAGCCCCGCCATAGTAAGTGGCGTGAGCTCGGCCCCAATTCAAACCACCCCCCCTAAAGCGACTCCCCGTCGCAGAAGCAGCCTCCACAGAGACCGGCACATCTATCATCATCATCGTCAGCAACAACAACAACATGGCTTCCAATGCAGCAGCATGACTCCTCCACGTCTCCATGACCTGTTGCTGCTGCGGTAGCTTGCTTCGACTCTCACTTCTCTTCACTTCTCTTCTCCTCACTGCTCTTCTCTCCTCTTCTCTTCTGCCCTGTCCCAACGGAGGAAGAGAAGGAAAGCCAAAGGGACTTGACTAGTAGTGGTGGTGGTGGTGGTGCAGTTAGTTGAGTGGGAAGCTGAGAGAGAGAGAGAGAGAGAACGGCCTCGCAGCTGCTGCTCCGGGTGGGTATAGTAAAGTGAAGAGGAAGTGAAGCGGTAGAGTAAAGTAAAGTATAGTGTGCTTGAGACTTCAAAACACATGGAGCAGCAGCAACAACAACAGAAGAAGGCGAAGAGGAGGAAGAAGAAGAAGACACCACCATCTACCACTGTGCCTTCATACATTCATTCATTAGTTTATTCATTCATCCCGACATTCATCTGTGGGTTGGTGTGATCGATTTCATCTGGAATTGTTCATCATTCATTCATTCATTCATCCGTGATTAATGGCGCGGTTTTATTTGTATCTTATTCATCCTTCATTCATCTGTGGTCTTGTGTGATCGCATTCATCCACTTTCATCCCTGCACTGTTGATGTTGTTTGGTTGCTGACCTGGCTGTCCTGTCTCTGGAACAATATATATGTGTATATTTGTATATGCCAAAGGGTAGATTTTCATTTATTGTATTTTAATGTAGATTTTGGAGATTTTTTTTTTTTTTTTAAATCAGAATTTTTTAAATTAAGGTTAGTTGATTGACTGTATTTTCGTTTGTTTGTTTGTTTGTTTGTTTGTTTTATTTTATTTCTTCATATAATTGTATATGATGTCTATGTTATATTGTCTACAAAAAAGATTCCAAATCAAGTCTACACATAAGATTTTATTACAGGTGTTTTGAAATTAACTTTTTTAATCCAAAAATTTGGCATCAACACTTACATTTTGAATTCCTCGCTTTCAAAACAACATTCAAGTTATTGAATAGCCATCTATTGTTGAAATCAGTCTATGAAATACTTGTATAACAAGAGTATTGAATCATTCCACATACTCATTTTTTAATTGAGATAAAAAAATTCATTTGTTTATTCCAAACAACATATTTGTGAATTTGTTTAAGAAGTATGACAAAGACTTAGAAAGTATTAATTGAAAATATTTTTCACTAAACCATTAAAAAAATTAAAATGGCTATAAAATATAAATAAATGCTTAAAAACTACAAGTATGTTAATCTTATCAAAAAGTGAAATATCTATGATATCATTAGGATATTGCTAATGCTACTATAATTTTACTTATTGCCACCACAATTTTTGCAGCTACACCATAATCTGCCACCTACTCAACATATTTCTTTAGTTTTTTATTTTTTATTTTTTTTAATTGAAAATTTCTGAAAAATTTAAATAATTTTTTAATATAAAATAATTAAAAAGCTAATATGAATAAATTATGGTGGTAGTAGCACAAAATGTGGTGGCATTAACAACACCTTAACTTTAAAATAATTTGTTTTTTTTATTTTTTTTATTTTATTAAATTTATGCTAGTTTTTTATTTAAAAAAATTATTCAATTCAAATAAAAACTAATACTTATGGTGATGATATCTCTAAATATTTTTTCTAAAAATATCTATTAAATTATATATATATATATATATATATATATATTTGTTGATTATACCTATATTTTCTAATTTTTTCACAAATTATATTGAGGCTAGGTACAAAACAATGTTGTCCAAAAATAAATGTGCCTACATACAACTTAGATTAACAAATATATCTAAAAAATATTAATATAAGAATTAAAGACAAAAAAACAAGTCTTTGATATTAATAATTTTTTAAACTTCACAAAAACTATATTTGACAAATGAATATGAATATATATATATATATATATATATATATGGCATTAATAGAAAAATTATTATTATTTTTTTAATTTACAAAAATATCAGTAATCATTTGATTTTGCTAAAATATTACATTGTAATATCTTTTGATGATTTGTTAAATACTTTCAAAGTAATGAAGTCTATTAAGTATTCTTTCTACCAAAATAATTCTTATAACTATTACATAATATATACTAGAGTAATTTATTAAAATCTTGTAAGATACCAGCTTGCCATGTTTGGAACTTTATAATATTATGTATTTTGTAATAAAAAATTCCACAAATAATAATAATAATAATAAATATATTTATATATGTATATATGGCAACCAACATTAATTTAAATTAAAAAAACACAGACTTAGAATGGTCTTTAAGGACATAAGAAAATAATATGATTTTTTTACAGTATCAAAATTGGAGATTCTTAGAAATAAACTAAATTAAAAGAAAGTTAAACATAGTATAAAAATAATCAAGACTGGAATGAGGAAATCTATAATCCAGCAAGTTATTGTAGAATAAATACAATAATATGACATTATTAACTAGTTGAAAAATTGATGTGACAATAAGTTGGAAGAAATACATGCAACTACAATTGTAATTTGAAGTACACAAATGTTCTCAATAGGTCAAAAAATCAACGAAAAATGGATGGCATAATTATTATAGAACAATATTAAAAGATACAAATATATTTATTTAACTGAGATCCATAAAACTACTTTAGAAGTCTGAGAAATGTAAGTCTAAAAACACAAATTCAGATCAATGTGATTCAATCTCTAATTTATACATTGTCATTTTATAGGATCTAATAAGAAATTTTGAACCTAATATTAAGATTGTAAAATTGTAATAAGGGCTCTTGCATCCAATATAGATTATATGTATTGTTTCTAATGCATTGCATATTTTTTAGATTTGTTCATCAAACAATGTATATTTTTTTTAAATGATTTTTTTACCACGTATGATAATTTCCATTGACTATTTTTTTGTTTTGTTTTGTTTTGTTTTTGTTTTTGTTTTTTTTTTTTGTCACAAATAAACAAAGACTTTATTACAGGGTAGAAAAATACATACAAATATGTAGGCCAAGGTGTGGTTCTATAAGGTGACCATATTACTTTCTAAGTATATCATTTCATGATAAGACTTGTTGGGTTTATTCAGCCATGACAAGATTTATTAATCTCTATTAGAAACGCCCTGAAAATCTACAATGTTATTATTCCATTAACACACCATTGGAGTCAAAAAAAAATAAAAAATGATCAATGTTTGTTCTTGTTTAGATGACTTCTTTGTTTTATACGTATTGATGCCTAAACTATTGTTCTATGGTCAATGAGGCAAAGCCTCATTATATTAACCATTTGTTCACAGTGCCAATGCCATCCATTAAAGGCAGCATCATTTTGCTCAATTCATAAGTTCTACATAATAATTTCCTTCAAAAGAAACCATTAACGACTAACTTTTATGTATTGTAGTGGTATGTTGTGGACAAATATTCCTTCTTTCTATGTAAGGTTGAAATCATGTTGTTGTTGGCCTCCTTGTGAATTGTTCTCTCTTGTACTTGAAACATGAATTGTTTATCTACCTCTCCTACCTTATCTTTGCTATGTTTAGTTTTGAACCACAAGGATGCTACGTCCACCATTCCTATCTCTTTGTGTGAGTAACTTACTTATGTTCTATTTTATAAAAAATTTAAGGACTTTGCAATGTCATGTCTAAGCTCTAGTTGCCACAAGATATGCCCAAAATCTGTATAGGATGGGTTTAGAACTCCTTACAAGGTATACAAGGGAATTCTAGTCCATGTTTGTATTCTTTCTGTCTCTCCATACGTTTATAGTAACTGCATAATGTCAGATTAGTTAGAGAAGGCTAGCTTCTTTTCATATGCATTTATTTCAAATATTGAGCCAATATAACTTGAATACATTTGGCAATATACGTCCTCACTTTCATGCCATAACTATTGATATCATATAACAATGTTGTAAGTATTGCTATATTAATTGTGTTGTGTACCACAAAATTAATTTCTTATCTTTCCAATAGAACATCTCTAAATTCCATTAGAATCAATTGACTCTATATAAAATAAATAGAAGTTGGTTATATGTTGGGTTCTTTTCACGTACTCTATTCTTATCCATTGAATTGTAACTCAAACTATTATATCTATAGTTGTATCCATGGTGCATGTAGATGTCTAAGATATTATATTCCACATCGAGACAAGGACTCAATTACATATGATTTCTTAGACCTAATATATGGATATTTCAATTAAAAGCCATAATTTTGTCTTGACTATTACTAAGTAAAGTGTTTTACTTACTTGAAATGTTGGATGTAGAAGTGTGTTGTTATCCATACCAAATACTTCCACTCAATTATCTTCTTTATATTTCAATTGGTTTGCAGATAATAAATTTTTCTATCAATCATATATGAAACTGCAAGCAAAATTCCATGTGCTTTATTCCTATGGAATTAACCCATAAATTTTTGTTACTTCTTTTGCTAAAATAAAATTTTGACCATTCCACATATGTCTATAGACTTGTATATTAGTTTTATGTAACTATGATGTCTTTAATTTTAAAAATTTGGATCCAATTAATGTGGCAGTTGGATAATATAATAAGTTATAATTTAGGAGTTTATTTATGGTTATAGGTGGTATATAAGTGTACTAAAGAAGTAGCTTTTTTTTATGTAAAAGTAATTTGGTTCCATCCAATTAATCTATGATGACTTTAATGGGATGATATCATAAAATAATCCAAATTGGGTTCCTATCTTCCTCTTTCATAAGATTAATAATATCCTAGTTTATACTTGACCATTGGTTAAAGATTTAACTAACTTAGTTTGAATGTCTTAATGATCTATTTTATCATTAATGCTATTGTAGCTTTATTAAGATAGATTAGATTAATATTATCCTTGCCTTAAAATTGACAATATTACAACTACTTCAATATAGCTCTAGATCTCTCTATAGAACTAAAAATGAGGTATGGTTTCAATTTTATTTTAATTTTGACTAATTATTTTTTTATATTCCCTTATTTGAAAATAAATAAATATAATAAAGATAATAATATACTATTTATTATTATTCCCCTTCTTATTGCATTGATATGTTTGATGTACCAGTAAGTAAGTTTCTTTTTGATATTTGTTTTTTAGGAATTTGTCTATATTTTGAAATTTTAATAACAATCAAAAGCAAGAGCCAAGTAATTTATTTACTCTATCATGCTTTTTCTAGGTTATCTTCAAATTTTATATCTAACTTGATTTAGGTACATTTTTTTATATTTTTCAATATTTGCTTAACTTAGTCTAATTTATATTAAGATCCAATGCCAAATAAAATATTTTAAGAAAAGAGATAAAAATCT